GTTGATTTTTTTTTGTTTTTTAGTGTGATGATTTTTAGGATGAGTTTTAAAAGGTTTTGATGGTGGTAAAGTTAAGCGGTGATGGTGGCGGTTGACGTGCATGGGGTATGCATACAACAATGAAGTTTAGTCCACAATCAAGTTTTTAATTTATAATTTCCTAAACTACCCCCACCTGCGATTCTCCACAAGTATACAGGTCGAAATGCGAGTATAGGGTAATTAGGGTTAAACTCATAAGAAAGACGGACAACTATCGATACTACTAAAATTTATCTATTATTTAAACTATCAACAAAATTAGAAAACAAAGCTAGACTACTAATGGGCAGAAATATACAAATGAAAACTCCTCAGGTAATGGAATCTCTATCTACTCATGCTAATACAACTTCTCGACTAAATCAGCACTAAATCTCGGTTAAGTTATGACATAATTTCCTTATATATGAAATATCTACTTTTGCCGGTATACCAACTGTAGCTATAGTTAAACTATACCTACTTTCGTGGTTATGAAATTAACTATAGGCTCATTTACTTCTACGAAATTACTAAAAAATAAGTCGTAAAAGTGCACATCTATTTTTGTGAGTATACTCCCTATGTTTAGCACTTCTATGAACTAGTGTCAAATTCTAATTTTCATTGCAAATCTAACACCTTGAGATGATCACAATTAATAGCCAGTTAATCATGATTATGAGTGCTAAAGTGTTAAATAACTCAATCAAGATAATATTCTAAAATAACCAAGAAATCGACACATAGCAATCATAATAGTTCAACCAAATACCCAAGGCATAACTTTAAAACAACATCACAAGCATAATATTCAAAACTCTCATTAACATAGCTTGAAATCCAATACAAAGATAAAGAGGTTGAGAGAAGGCAAACTCTTATCACTAGAGTTTCTTGAATCTCTCCATCTTCATCTCTCTCGGCCTCCTTAATGAGCCAATACAAAAGTGGATGAACACAAATTAGAATATTCTACACTAAAACAAGAAAAGACAGAGAGAGCTACATTTATTGATGGTTTGTGTCTTACCTCAAAGGGTAAGACATAACCCGCTTGGTCTTCCTTCTTTTCTCTAAAGCTCTCTCTCTCTCTCTCTCTCTCTCTCTCTCTCTAAACTAACTAGAACTAAAAGCCTCCCCTAAAACTACTAAAAGTCCCTTTATTTATAATCTTTTCAATCTTCCACAAAAAGCCTCTTTGGTCTTGAAGAGTCAAAAAGTTAAAAGTGAATGACATAAAATTGACAAAAAGGTGACAAGAGCTGATGTCTTGGACCCAAAAAGCAGCTGCCAAGACATCATAGCTGTCATAGAAAAGAGAGTTGAAAAGTTGACTACAAATTGTGCAAGTTGATCAACTTGCAAAATTTTTCCGCTCAAGTATTCGACACGGTATTCGAAGTGAATTTCACTATCCGATGCCATATATTTGATAGGGATATAATTATGCATTTTATTTGTGGTTATTTGGTCTTAATTTTGGCAGTTTAGTATGCAAAGTATTCGATTTCTGCTCATAATTAGTATTTGTGTTAATTACAGGCAATTAGTGTTGAAAGTGACAAAAGGGAGGCAAAATCCAGAAGACTCTTGCTTCTAAGGCGTGCCCACGCCAGACAACACAGAGCTGCGTGAAAAAGCCGGATCGCGGGCCCAAGCCCTGGAACAACCATTCTGATTGGAAGATACCTTTTTACCATGCGTGAGATCAGGAAACCTTAAAAGCAAGAAGTCTTTTGGCAACAAACAACTAAGAAAGTAAGAAAAAGGAATCCTTTTGGGAAACACAGGAGAATTGGAAACCAACTGGAATTGGAAAGCAAGTGCCGCGAAGACCTTTAAGTAGCAGAGGAAATAGAATTCGAAGAGAACTTTTGGTAACAATCCAACGGGGGAATAAAAGAAGCAAATTGTTTGAAGAAACCCACCTATTATTTCGGCTAGCAAAAAAGAAGCGGCGGCGCAAACAATAAAAAGAAGACAGCAATAGACTAGGGATGGATCTTCTGTCTTGGACTTGTCTCTTTGTTTTTTTTCTCTCTTTTTCCTCTGGAACACAAGTAGTGAGTGGCGGCCGATACCTTTTACTACTTCCTCAATCAACAAAAACTCCATGAAAACTCCAAATTGCTTCATGATTATGCGGCAAGGCTAGTTCTTTTATCTAGTTGAGGAATAAATCAAGGATTGGAGCACCATAACTGTGAGATCATTTTAATTGTTTTATTTTTAATTTATATGTTCATGGGTATTTGATTATTCTCTATTTTTCCCTGAGTTATTATTGTTTAAATTTATTGGATAATTAGGCCTGTTATTCGATTGTCTAAATAATTGATAGCCAATTAGGATGTTGGCGCGTAGCCTTTAAACATCTTGATTAGTGGCAAACGAGACAACTTCACCGCCTCGCAAGCGGTCTAATTTGGATCGTGGGGATAATTAATCTAGCCTAAATAAACCCGCATGTGTGTTTGTCATCTAGAATTGGGTCTTTCTAATTCCTAATGTTGTGGCTACATTAAATCCTGTGAGCGTTTCTGGGGTTGTCTAGTCACAAGAGGGTAGTTTATGAGCGTCTCTTGACTACCATAAAATTAAGGAAAGATTGGTGGTTAGGCGCGTCGCTTGACCACTATAACCAGTTTATTCGTGAGTATATGAATTGTCTCGTGTATCTGTGATCAGTTGTGTGCTTCGGTGCCAAGATTAATTCCTTGACTAGGTTGTTTAATTAATTGTTATTTGTGTAGTTTGGTTCCTGCTATCTTAATCAACTTTAAATTTCAGTTTTTATTCCTTTTTAATTAGTTGGTACTACTGCTAAAAATCCCCCCCATTTTCCTGTGTGATTTGCCTACCTGTTCCCTGAAGAGACGACCCTATTCACCACTATACTCATTCAGTTTTGGTAGTAGGTCTAATATAAATTTTATTTTTGGTGGTTTGACACCCACCAATATTGCTTAACACTCTTCTTCTGAGAACTCTCTTACGAGTATCTGACGTGATTATCTGAGTTCACTCCCTCTATCCAATGCTGTATACTGCACAACACTCTTTCTCTCACAAAATCTTCTAGCGAGTATCCAATTTGGTATCTGGTTCGAAATTCACTATTTGGCCATGGATACTCTCATCTAATTGGGCAATGACTTTTCATAAACAGCTCTAGCTTGTCTTTACTCATTCATTCCTACCAAAATAGAATAAACATTAACAAGTAAAAGGAATGAATTCACAAGTGTTCTCAAAGTTACTCAAGAACATCAAATATTGTCAAAATGGTCACTCACATTGTTTTAGGAGTTCAAAATTAAGTACAAATGAACTAAAATATGTACAAACTATTAAGTAAAATAGACACTTGTTAGTGGTAGTGGTGGTGGTGTGGCTATATTAGGTGATAAGATTTGGATATGAAATCTTTTATCTATCTTTTTGTTCTCTTGTGTGATGATTTTTTACGTGTTAAGTTATTTGGTCTAATAATACAGTCTCTCTCTTTTTTCTTGTCTAGTATTCTTTTTATATTAATCTGTTTGACAAGATAAGATGGTGGTGGTAGCGAACTGGTGAAGATGTTATGGTGGTGTTGGAAGAGGTCATGGTGGTAGTTCATATGCTAATGGTGGTGAAATTTGATATGGGTTATGCTTCAATTTCTTTTTTTTTTTATAGGTTAAAAGCATTAAACTCTAATTTTACCCTCAGATGCACTTTATCCCTGTCAACTCAATAAATAGGCACTTTACCCTTTCTGTTTTATGTTTCAGGATAAAAGTACCCTTCCATATTAGTCATTATTTTATTTCTTTTTGCCTTTTTTCTACTTGTCATTTTTCTTAATAAATTTTAATTTTCTTCCCTTTTCTCATGTGATCAAATATTTTCTTCCCTTTACAATTAGTATCTATATATTATTTTTAATTTTCTTCAAGATTTCTTTATTTATTTCTATCTTTTTTACTTTTTGTTATTGAAAGTAATAACTATCATAAAATCTATGTTATAACAAAGTATATTATTTATGTGCATAGACTATTTCATAAATTATTTGAATCAATACATCTAGAGTTTAGAATAAGTTAATATCTAATAAAAACAGTAACAAATTCAAATCCTAATAACATAGTGGTTAATAAACTATATATGAAAAGTAAATAAAATGGTTAGTTGCTTTATTTTTTTGGGCTATACTTTTAATATTTAGTAATTTAAAGTTCTAGTTTGATAATATTTTTTAAATAGTCAAATTGCTAGTAATATACACTTTTTGATTGTGATAGGTATATATTAGTTTTTATGCTATATAGTTTGTTTAGAATTTTTGAATAGTGTAAATAAATAAAATAAGAGTGAAATCATAAGTAAAAGATAATTACAATATTATAATAAGCATACAAATTAGAAATAGTAATAGGAAAGTGAAACAAAATAGTGACATAAATGAAGTGAAAATAGAAAAAGAAGAAAAATGAAAAAAATGAAGGAGAGTACTGGAAAATGAAAAGTAAGGGAATGAATAAACAAAAAAAATAAAATAAAATAGGCAGGGAACATTTGTCTTAAAATATCAAATAGGGAGGTAAAGTGCTTATTTAATGAATTTAGGGGCAAAGCCCAACTAAGGGTAAAGTTCAGGGGGGTTTATTATATTTAGCCCTTTTTTTCTTCATTTTGGTTGTGTATGTGAAGGTATTTCTAGAGACTTATTTGACTTTGTTAACATGAAAACAAAATGGGTATTTTTGGATATTTGGTAGAAAATTGAGGGTAAACCAGTACATAATTCTATTCTTGATTAGGTTTAGCTTGATTTGTTAATTGTGCTAAAAATTAAAAGTTGAAGGTAATAGATTGCTGAAATTGAAAGTTCAGAGTGCAAAGTCTGCTAGCCGAATTGTTGAGGGGTGCAAACTGCAATTAACCCGCAATCAACCCTATATTTAATGAATCAGTATCCTGCCATTCTCACCTCGAATGATCTGAACAGGCTTAGAACTTGTAGCTAAAGAAGAAGAGAGGGAAGAGAGAGATAAACATGGACAAGGCACCGCCTTTTCTTTTACTACTACTAGTAGTAATATTATTTTTCATTTTGTATCGGATCTTCCGCCACTATCTCGGCCAAAAGTCCAGTAAACTTCCCCCCGGTCCACACCAATATCCCATAGTTGGAAATATGTTCCAGCTCAGTGGAATCTTCCATTCAACACTGGCAAAACTCTCCAAAACATACGGACCTTTGATGTCAATTAAGGTACTGAACAGAAGAATGATCATTGTATCCTCACCCAAAGTAGCCAAAGAATTACTTCAAAAACATGATCATCTCTACACCTCTAAACTAGTACTTGATTCAGCCCGAGCATTTGACTATCACAAGTTCTCTATCATCTGGTTGCCTGTAAATGGCCAATGGCATAATCTTCGTAAATTGTGCAAAGAACAAATTTTCTCCTCAGAAAGACTCAATGCTAGTCAAGGGCTCCGTCAAGAAAAGCTACAACAGCTTTGCAATTATGTCGATGGCTGCTGCATTAACGGGGAAGCTGTCGACATAGGTGAAGCTGCCTTCACTACAATCCTCAATATTCTGTCCAACACTTTATTCTCTGTTGATTTTGGTAATTACGAGTCCAATTCATCTCGAGAACTGAAAGAAATCATATCGGGTGTGGTGGATACCATAGCAAAACCTAATCTTTCAGACTTCTTTCCGGTGCTCAGAGCAATTGATCCACTGGGTATTAGGCGGCAGACCAAATTTTACTTTGGAAAATTGCTTCAAAAATTTGAAGAAATTATCAGGCAACGGTTACAAGAAAGAGAGAAATCTCTTGCTTACTTGCGCAGAAATGACTTGTTGGAGGTCCTCCTTGATCTCACCCAGCAGCAAAAATCTGAATGGGGCATTGAGGAGATAAAACATTTGCTTCTCGTGAGTATCTACTAAACTTTTGAACTGATGAAAATTATAAAAGGTTAATAATCGTTGGCTAATCTAATAGCCATAATTCCATAAATAGTTATAGTTTTTTCTGTTTTTATTCAGATGTTATAAACAATTCTGACTGATATTTGTTTGTAGGCTCAATTTCTTCTCGAAACTCTGCAGGTAAAGGATATTATTATCCACGGGATATATTATTTTTTGTTGGAAAGTCAAAAGATTAAGGGAGATGGATGAGGATGTTTATTTCTTGCATTAATTAATACCCTGTCACTCAAATGGAGCAAATAAGAGATTCTCTGCTTTTTCTTTGTTAATTGTTCTTTTAAATAGGTGAGGAATGGAATTTAAGAAGTGAGAAGGGAAGATTTGAACGCATGACCTCTAATTTTTGAGATATCAATTTTAATCACTAAACTAATGTCTTTTGGGCATAAAGTTCTCATTCAAATGCAAAACATGGGCTTAATGGGTGTGGATGCTGAGTAATTCATAATCTGGAGTCAATGAATGTTAGTGTCCATTAAAATATGGAATACGTCACGAAAATTTAGGAATTACACAAGTGAACTAAGCTGCAAATAAAAATTTGCAATCCGAAAGGAAAATTGGAAGCTAAAAGACAAACCTCGGGAACGTATTTGACTGTATATATTCTGTTTCAGGATTTATTCCTTGCAGCATTTGATACAACATCATCAACGGTGGAATGGGCAATTGCAGAGTTATTGCGAAACCCTGAAAAAATGGAAAGGGCTAGATCTGAGATTAGAGAAATCATAGGAAGAGGAAAGCTGGTTCAAGAATCACAGATTTTTGCACTCCCTTACTTGCAGGCAATTATTAAAGAGGTCTTTCGCCTTTACCCTCCTGCCACCACAATAAGTCGCTATTACGAGGCCGATATCGAGATTGGCCAGTACATTGTACCCAAAAATGCTCTAGTACTTGTTAATTTATGGGCTATTGGTAGAGACTCTAGCTTGTGGTCGAGTCCTGATTCCTTTGTGCCAGAAAGGTTCCTGGATAGTGAAATTGATGTGAAAGGCCAGCATTTTGAGCTCCTTCCATTCGGTACAGGCAGGAGAATGTGTCTTGGAATGCCGCTGGCTGATCGGTTTATTCATTTGACGGTGGCTTCGCTCATTCATAACTTTGATTGGAAGACTGAAGGAGGGATCAAACCAGAAGATGTGGACATGAGTGAAAAGCTTGGAGTTACAATGCAGAAGGCTGTACCCCTTAAAGCCATTCCAACTCGAACCACAGTTTAATCATTCGTTTTTACATACTCAAGTTGTCATTTCCACGGTGGAGGGAAGGTTAGGTTGGATAGTAAAGTAGGAGATTCTGTGTTCAAGATCTCCCTTTACGGAAAAAAAGTTGTCTCTAGTGCGACTTTTTCTAGCATTTTCTTGTATGTACAATAGGTATAATAAGTACATGGACACAGTTTTTAAGGTAGGTGGATTTTGATGCTGCGGTACATTTTCTGTATCACAGTTCATTACAATATGTGTTGCGATGGTATGTGGTTTCTTATTTTGTATCGAATAATTGTTGGTTGGTAAATCTTGCATATTTTTTGTGTTAGGATGGTAGGTAATTTCTTGTTTCCAACCACTAAGGGTCGATTAGAAAATCGGGCGACATGTTGTGGTACTATAATAGAAAATCCAAAAACCAAGATAAACTAATTCGTTTATATCACGATTGGCAAGATATGTTTCAAAGATTTTGACCCTTTGGACCTATAATGAATGTGATTCATATCGTAATTTCCCCTAAACTTAACTCCTAGCCTTAGGGTGCTATGATTTTCCTAAATTTCATCGACTTAAATTTGCTGTTTACTAAATTCATTAACTAACTATTAAGAATTTTGAATTATAAAATAACAAATTTAAAAATAGAAATGAAAAATTTAAGAAGTAGGAAAAGATTTGCATCCTTTCCCCTCCTTGTATTTATTTAATAATAATAATTATTAATAAAATAGGGGCAAGTAGCCTCGGTGAATGGGGTTTATCGAAAAAAAAAGCAAAAGGGAGAAAGGATTTGTGCTGCTAACTAATTACCTATATTAAAAGTGTTAAAAATGTGTAGTAATTCATGGATTTATTAATAAAAAATAATCTATTTTAGGCTATTTTTTTTGGGTCAATTAAAAGAGTCAACCCAAATGTTGTAGACTGAATATCAATTATTAACTTTACATCCTTGTGATATTAATTTGTGATCATTGCTTAATCCAATTAGGAAAGCTATAAGATGAAGTTTTACGCTAGTCAAAGTAATCAATATCTTCAACATAGCCCTTTTCCTCCTTGGCGGCACCATTACACGCCATTTCTTGCCTGACAGGTGTCGAGCCTGTGCAATAATAAATACCTACTCGAGAAAAATGTAAATTTTACATATAGCGGTGAGTAGGGTCGAATCCACAGGGACTGGGGATAACTTATTTCTTTTAGAGTTCGAAGTATGGGGGGTTTTCAATGGGAGACAAATAAAAATGAAATAAAACAAACAAAATTCAAAACTAACTCACAAAGCATAATTTATTAAAAATAGCAATTAATAAAAGTTCTACCCAAAGGATCAACTGCTCAGGTACGGTCCAATTAAATGATCATTGATGCAAAGATATTTCACCCACGCATTACTAGGTTGGTTATAGTCATCAACAAGCTCTGACAACCAGTTCTTCCTTACTTTTTCGACAGTCAAGGTACGACCATTGACTGCTTCTCTAACCAGATAACAACATTAGGTACGATCGTAGGAATTTAATTACCCGATTACATTAAAGTTAGAAGAACCCAACCCTAATCAATAAACACGCTAAGAGGGTTTATTTAAGCTAGATCTTGCGTTTCCCCATCACAAAGCCAATTATGGTGGTTGCCACGGGGTGTTAACTAAATGAACAATTACGAATTCTATTTAATTAACGTGGCAGTAGGCTATTAAATTAAATCAAATACCCGGCCGTTGATATTCAATTAATAAAATACCCATGAACAATTAATTCAGGAAACGCACGAATAGCAATTAATTGGAGGAAATAATGAAGATTCGGTTAGATCTCACAGATATTATGAACCGCGCCCTCGCGTCGACCTTTGGGTAGAGGAGAAAATTAGCCGCTCCTCATCGTGTCAATCTCGCGTGATTTAATTGAATTCATTCAATTAATTGCCGAAAAATTGGAAAAGATGAATTAACGAAGGAACGGCTGAAAAACCTTTGCTTCCCTTTGTTGGGTTTCGTGTTCGTACCCCTCGAGCGAAAGTAGAAGCAAAAGTCGAATAGGAAAAATTGTACAGAAGCCAAAAGCAAAGCAAAAGAGTCAAAAGCATGAAAGCCAAAAAGTAAGAGAAGAGTCTACAACGTCTGACGGCTAGGGAAAAGAAAACTAAAGCTATCTAAAATCCTAATACGTGAATCCCCTTTTCTTTTGGTCTTTTTCGCCTTTTGTAGCCGCCAGTAGTCTTCAAAGGGTTAGGAGGCCCACAACTTTTGTTTCAAGGTTCCAATCCAGTGCTTCGGGTTCACGTGGACCATGGTCCGTCTTTCGGTAACGTCTACCTTCTAAGGCGTGGCCACGCTCTGAGACGAAGGGTCTTCTGAAAATTTGCCTCAAGAGAACATTTTTAATGCCGACCACCTACAATTCATACAAATATGAAATATAAGTTAAACCTCAATACTTAGCACAGAAAATAGCCAAAATCAGGACAAAATAACACTGCAAAATGTGCCAGATAACTGCTCTATCAAATCCTTCCACACCTAGACAATGCTTGTCCTCAAGCATTTCGGAGCTCAGAAGTACAACCAAGAGAGCAGAGGTCATGGAATAGTCTATACTAACACAAGCATCTCAGGTCCCTGACAATATCGCTAAAATTAGAACACACCGGATAGGTTGTAATTCAAAGAAAATATATGAATACTAGGAACGCTCAAATCAACATCACGGAATGGCATTACCATAAGCTTGCACATTTATCACATCTCCACCACTCGAAAGTGAACTAAATACACAAATCAAAGGGACTTTGGTGAGGTTGTAATGGAGTCCAGGTGAAAGGCGGGATAAGAAGGTAAAAATAGGGTGTAATGTGTCAAGAGAATGTCCAATATCCACTACATAACCACAATGCTTTATCGGGGCAATTTCTCAAGTAGGGCGTTTCCATTTGCTGTTTTCATTGTACAAGTGTCGGAACTCTTTTTTTTTTTTTTTTTTTTTTGGAGAGGATGTCTAGCAAGGCGTGGGCACGCCCTGGAAGACAGAGTCTTCTGGTCACCAGCTTTTTGCCAATTTCTCCCCTTTTTTTTTTCTTTTTTTTTTTTTGGCTTTTCTTTCGATCTCAGATGTACAGAAACAGCACCATACAACATCTTTTTGACAACACTTGCCACCACAGATTTATTTACCTTGCACAAGTAATGAATTTCAGACATCGCTTAATGACACAAGGTTGGACAAAAGAGTCTAAAAAGGTCATGGATTATCCAGCACGGCTAACAAACAAAGAGAGGGATAAAAGCTCAAATTGGTTCACTATTGGGAGATAAGATGAGGGCTTGGTTTTTTAGATAGCTAAATAGGGTTATATCCTAAATGCCCTTATCATTTCAAATGCATCCAATTCAACAAAAAATGTGGTCTCGACATGTATAAACTAGCAAGTTCTAGAATGCCAATACCATGTGTGATACCCACTTAATCAAACAAAAATAGAGCAAACAAGAATAATGTGCTCATATAAGGCTCAAAAGCTCCCAAAAGTTTCAAAAATGGGTCAAGTCCAGCGTATTCAACACTCAACAACACTGCCAAGGGAAAACGAAATGCATAGCTAGTATATTTACCCACATACCCCCGCATCTTGATTGTGTCATTTATCACAGCAACATGCTCAAGCATTAACAAGCATAGAAATAAACAAAAAGCTGACTAACTACAATGTTTTCTTTTTTTTTCATTTTTTCCATTTTGTTTCATTTTTTTTTGAGTAACAAAGCAAAAAGAAATAATGGAAGCCACTCCCCCACGCCTAAAACCTACATTGTCCTCAATGTAGAAAAGACAAATGAAGTATTAGGAGAAAAGAAAAGAAACTTCCCTGACCACCGGGGAGGGAAAGTGAGACACTAAGGCGGAAGAGGGGAGACGGCTGCGTGCACAATGTGGAGTGGTGGCGATGGACGCAACACCAACAGGAAGGAGAAGACTGAAGTTTCGTTTTCGGAAGGCGTGGGCATGCCTTGGAAGCTAGAGTCTTCTGACCATCAATTCCAAAGCTTCATTCCTTAGGCATGATCAACTAGAGTGGGCATGTCCAACTGCCAGCTTCCTGCCACAAAACAACAATCCACTAAATGACACTAACACTTAATAAAAATTCCAAAAATATAAGAAAACTAAAACAAAAGAATCCTTGGGTTGCCTCCCAAGCAGTGCCTTTTTTTAATGTCTTTGGCTAGACATTGTCATGTTTATTCATGGAGGATAAAATCGTGTAGCTTGTTGCAGTGCTTCATCTCCTAAGTAATCCTGATAGCCCTCGTAGATAGAGTAATTCTTGACTCCACGAGCTACGGTCTTCCATGGATTAGTAGTTGGCGCCAAACAAACAAGTGATGACCTTAAATCTTCACTCATTCCTCCATCAAGAGCACTTATTGATTCGAGATATTTTGCCATCGTGACTCTTAACTCATTCCTGTCATGAAACTCAAAATTTTCTGGTATAATAAAATCAATCTCACTAACAGGAATTAAAGAATAAGAGTCAGGAGAGTATTGATCAAGGAATGGGGGAGGTGTCACCTCATTTGGAGATTGTTCACTGGATTCATCCACTTGAACAATTTGATATTGGGGTTCCTTTTCTTGTACTTCAATTCCCTTTTCAACTGTATCTTTAGATTCTTTTTCATGAGATTCTTGCAGTTCCATGTCATTTGTCAGGATAATTATACCCTCATTTTCTTCATGGTCGATAATAATCGCTGAGGGTAATTCTTCACAGAATGGAGAAATCAATTTGCTCATTTTAGATGCCAATTCACGCCTTCCATCTTCCATCTCTTTAATCAACATTTGTGTCTCCTGTTGAATTTGATATGTCTCCTGTTGAATTTGATGTGTCTCCTGTTGAATTTGATATGTGTTAGTAGCTATTAATTCAACTATTTCTTCAAGAGACATACCTGACATGGATGACGGTCCTTGAGACTCTAGCTGTTGAAAATCTATTGGCCTTTGTTCATAATTAAAAGTGGAATCATCCCACCATCTTTGCTCATACCCGTTTGAATAAGGGTCATACCAAGTTTGATATTGAGGTGAAAAATCCCTAAAAGTATCGATTGGAGTACTTCGACCATCTTGAAATGCAGGGCATATGTCGAGTGAATAATTCGAAGCAAAATAAGCTCCACAATTTGCAACAGCCCATTGATCATTAGAAAAAGCATGAGTCTCAT